ATATTTAATTAGGCAAAAAAAAGTGTTAAATTGTTATTTCAAGTATCAGATTGAAACTTGAACTATGCTTTTCAAAGCAAATTGTATTGATGATGTGTATTATTACATGCATGTGAAAAAAGCTAATTTTGTTATGTAAATCAGGATAAGAGAGATTATTCTGTAATGATCACCTAATAACAATGTTTTGATACAATAAAAGTTTATTACTTGCTCAAGGAACATGCCAGTTCTAAGTTTGTGTATGGGAGGTGGCCCCTCTGCTCACTGCAATCATTAGGTATCTAGGCTTGTTTACTAACTACATCACAAATTTTGCCAGATGTTGTGGCATAAGTAAAGAATGTTCTTGAAGCTCTTCTTATTAAATAAATGTTCTTTCCTGTAAGTGAGATGTTTTATGCACTTACAATTTGTCAGAACTAATCATATGTCTGCAATCCCAGGCATCTGAGTCAGGAAGGGTAATTCTATTATATTTTCAGAATTCAGCAAGCTGACATTTGAATACACAGTGAACAAAATTAATTCCTACTACAATTGCACTTTCTTCATTTCTTAAAATTCAACTTACGCATTTTGATATTAATAGTTTTACAACCATAGGACAAGTATCCATGGAAATGAATATACACACACACAAACACACACACAAGATAACACACATTGCTGTATAAAAATCAGTGAATAGCAAACTTATTATATGAATCTCTAAAAACCTCACCCCTAATAGTTATATCATATAAAATAAATGTAATCCATATGACACATTATTTTTCATCAAAACAGAAATTGTTCTTGAATGAAGAAAGCCTATATCTTTTCTGATGATAGTTAACAAAAAATTATCTGTTGCCAAAAGGAGCCTTCATAATAAAAACTCATAAATTTGCAACACTCCCACAGACTGTTAAACAGTCTGTTAGATGATGATGATGGATGCTATTAGAAATAAACCAATATTAGCAAATGAGATTATTGACTTAAAATGTTCTAATATGAATAATATAAAAAAGAACTGGCTTAAAGAAATGACATGTAAGCTTTGTAACAAAACATTATTATAATTAAAGGAATACTATTAAATTAATCATAGCCACTGATTCCTTACAAAAATATATTTAAGAATTAAAATATTTATTTTTTATTTTGAGCCCAAGGCTATGATGATTATAATACTCATAACTCCTGGAAAATTAATTGTATAACCAATCAATGTATTTTCTGTAAGTTCTCTATTCTGTGCTATAGCAGTAGGAAAACTAAAGAGGAAGCTAAACAAAAAGAAAAAAAAAAGGAAGGATTATTTTACATAAAACTTGACAATAAAAAGTATCCAGAGTAACTAAAGAAAAAGTTGTATGTATTTTTAATACTTAGGTACACCCTTGTTCTTAAATTTCCAAAACTATCTCTATGTATGCTAAAATGGAGAAAGCCTGTGAAAGGTTACATATTTCTCCACAGCAAACAAAAGCACATTGTCTTGTGAAATTCAGCATGCTAGATTTCCTGCAGTGATGGAGTCAGAAATAAAAGAAAATATTTGAATAGATGGTTATCTTTTATTAAGCAACGGCTCTTCCTAAATATTATTTCTATACTTTTTCCTTACTTCTCCTTCTGCCAAAATCTAGTACTTCTTCATGTGGCCCTGCAATAGGATTCTTCAGAAAAACAGAACCAACAGATTCCTGTAGTGTATCTGTGTGTGTGTGTGTGTGTGTGTGTGTGTGAGTGTGTATGTGTGTGTAAAATTTAATAACAAATTTTTTATATACTATAAGAGAGAGGGAGACAGAGAAGTCCCAAGATGGGCAGTCAGCAAGCTGGAAACTCAGGAGAGCAGATGAAGCAAGCTCTAATCTAAAGACAAGAAAGCTCCACTCCAAAAGAGTCAATGTTTCAATTCAAGTCTGCAGGCTGGAAAATTCCTATATGGCAGTTCAAGTCAATCAAGCCAGAGGAATTCCTTCTTACTCTACCATTTTTCAACTCGAATCTCCAACTGGCCGGAGGACGACCACCTCAACCAACTCCTTTATCAGGTTCTAACATGCTCAGCCACTAAACATGGCCCTGAATTCCCCAAAGCCAGATACCAAACCTTACTCATCTCTCCCCACTTACCATTCATTACCTGCCTCTTACAGCTCCATCCTGCAGTTATCCTGTCTCTGGGTGAACCACCTTGTGTAACCCTGCCTGGCAGTCTTTTCTCCTTTGGAGTTGAAAGTAACATAAAGCTCTGCTTTTTATGTATGCAAGTGCCAATGTGTTGTGTTCCAACATCCAAATAATCTTTAAATCTTATGAAACATGCAGGTATGCACGTCAGTACAGATACGTACTTACATATCTATCTTCCCCCTATACTTTGTACCCTACTTCGACTCTTAATTATCCCTATGTTGAATTGTTAAAACGCTTTTCTTATACAAACTACCCATTCTGCAATTCAAGATCCCAAAGATTCTTTATAAAATAAATGACATAGTGAATGCCTCTGCTTAAAATTATTTGTTCAGGCTTACAAACAGTTTCAAATTTGAATCCACAATAGTTTTTCTGTTCTTGTATGAACACATTACTGGAACACAGGAACTTTACATTTGTAAAGCTCTCTGACAATACTATTTCTATTACTTGCATCATCCTTGTCATATTCAGCTGGAAATTCCCTAGTTGTTCTTCAAAAGCTAGTACTAATAGTATCCTCAACCCCTAAGATAAAATTAATAGCTTCTAATTCCACAACTAGGGAATTATTTCTACAGCACCTAGAAAACACCACCATAATATAACCCATCAACATGTAACATGTTTATGTGGCTACATTTTTACTTTTCAACTAAAATGGACTTTCTGAGATTGAACGTATATGTTTCCTTATATTCATTCCCACTTATATTATCAAATACCTGGCAGATAGGGCACATTCAGTCATTTGATTTGTTAAGTTCAATTGAATATAATTATATATATATATATATATATATATAGAGAGAGAGAGAGAGAGAGAGAGAGAGTACATAATAGTGTGTTTGTGTGTGTGTGAGTACTCAACATACACTTTTAACCAGATTCCTAAGTATATTCTACTAACTAAAGGTAAGGTAAGTAATCTTAGTAACTCTTACACAGATTAGTAAGTATATTCTAATAGGCTGTATGTACATATATACTGTGTTGTGTGAGTGTGTGTGCATATGCCATATACACACATACACAAACATATACACAACACCCATATATGTACACATATATACATATCTATGTATATACTTAAAAATATACTTACTATATATAATTGGCATATATATATATTAGGTCTATTAGCAAGTATATTCTAAGTAAAGATCTGTATTTTTCATATCTATATATGTTTATTTATATGTATATAAATAAGCAGAATATATATATTTATGTAGGTATATATGAACATACATGTACATACATATACATATTATGTAGATATATGAACATATATATTATGTAGATACGTATGAGCATATATGTATATATACACATACATTATGTAGATATATATGTACATATATTTATGTGTATATATAAAGAAGCAGGATATATATTTATGTAGATATATATGTATAAACACCTTTAGTTAGAATACACTTACTAATGTACTTATTACATATATAGTAAGTATATATACATATACGTGTGTGTACACATACACACTCTTAACTAAAGGCATATATATACAAATATATATAGGTATATATAGGTGTATACATATACACATACACACACACATCTTTAGTTAGAATATGCTTACTAATCTGGGGAACATTAAATATATTAAAAGTTTTTCATAAACTAAAATTTTGGGGAAATTATAAGGAAATGGTGAGATCTGTTTTTCCCCTACGACACAGCAAATATATCAGAAGTACTTGTCCTCATACTTTACGTGGCCCAGAAATAGTTAAATATTGAAATGTGGAGATATTGCAATAAAACTTCAGCCCACAAGTCATAAATTCATGATGTTCTCAGGTAATTTTTAACGTATCCTTATTTTTGCCATGTAAAATCAGAGAGATTTATACATAATATCCATCAGGAAAAAATGCTAAAGAAAATGCCACTTTTACCATCTTTAGAAAAATGGAATCATATTTTTTAAAGTTTATTCAGTGCCATAGAAAAAGAAACTGCTAGATCAAGATAAACAGACATGAATCCGTCATGCTTTGTAGAGAACATTCTAGAAATTGTGGGTAGTGTGAAAACTCTGCACAATAAAAAAAAAAAAAAAAAGCTCTGGGATAAAGGATGCATGAATGAAAGAATTACTTACAGGATGAGCACAGGCTCTGGGCCAGGTGAGAATGCAAAAGAGAGCGGTGGGTAAAATAAGACAGGGAGACTTTATGAGAGAGCCACATGCTGACTAAAGAGTTCCTCAAATGTATAAGGGAAAACCAATTGGAAGACAGCCCCAAATATTGCTGTAATAACATATATATGTATGTATATATATATGTTACACGTTTTATGTATATTCTATATATCCTCATGTGTGCATTGCATATTTCAACTCATTTATTATATGCAGTTCACTGCAACATAGGACTCGGTATACTGATTTATTAAATCTTGTGCTTTTATAGCCCTCTTTATGCATGGTTAAATGAGACAATTGTACACAGTAGTTGTGAAGGACACTTTTGAATGTGAGCCTGAGACCTACAAAGAGTAGCTGAAGTAAATGGCAGCCTGGATCAGCTCGCTTTCTTCATATCAAAACTAGATAATCCAAATGATATCTTTCACTTTAAGTTCAAATTTTGGTTTCCATGTACCTAAATATAGTTTAATTTCTGAAAATGGTTACCCAAATTTTTAACTTTACTCATACTTCCATGATACTTTTAAAAAGTTATAGGCAAGAACTAAAATAAATACTATTATTTTATTAATAAAAATAATTGTGATAAATATCCTGCTTCCACACCTCAATATTCTTAAAAATACTAAATGTCTGCTATGACAAGTCTTTCCCAATCTCTCATGTACGCTTCTGGGTCCTGCAGATCATATTTGTGTCTGTACACACAATCTTGTACCTGACTCATGTGTCCCATGTGACATGAAAGGAAGAGAAACTGAACAAGAAAGAGGAGGAACTCAAGGCTGCCCAAACTGATGATGTCAATGTGGACATGCACTTGAAGCAGACTGATCAAGAAGTTCAACTATGGTATTGAAGACCATGGCAAGGTGAAAATGCAAGGAGGGTTGCTGCGAACCTACATCATCAGTATCCTCTTCAAGTCTATCTTCCAGGTGGCTTTCTTGCTGATCCAGTGGTACATCTGTGGATTCAGCTTGAGTGCCATTTACACTTCAAAAGAGATCCCTGCCCACATCAGGTGGACTGCTTCCTCTCTTGCCTCACAGAGAAAACCATCTTCACCATCTTCATGCTGGTGGTGTCCTTGGTGTCTGTTGCCTTGAATATCATTGAACTCTTCTATGTTTTCTGAAGGGCATTAAGGATCAGCTTAAGGGAAACAGTGACCCTTACCATGCCACCACTGGCTCACTGAGCCCTGCCAAAAACTGTGGGTCTCCAAAATATTTTTATTTCAGTGGCTGCTCCTCACCAACCGCTCCCCTCTCACCCACGTCTACTCCTATGTCCAAGCTAGTTGCTGGCCACAGAAACCATTCTTGCCGCAATTACAACAAGCAAGCAAGTGAGCAAAACTGGGCTAATTACAGTGCAGAACAAAACCAAATGGGGCAGGTGGGAAGCACCATCTCTAACTCCCATGCACAGCCTTTTGATTTCCCTGATGATAATGAGAATTCTAAAAAAACTAGCTGCTGTACACAAACTACAGCCACTAGCCATTGTGAACCAGCAACCTTCAAGTAGAGCCACCAGTCATGACAGCAGCAAACTTCGGCTTGATGATCTGGAGATCTAGATACAGGCTTAAAAGCATCAAGATTCCACTCAATTGTGGAGAAGAAAAAAGGTGCTGTAGAAAGTGCACCAGGTGTTAATTTTGATCCAGTGGAGGTGGTATGCAACAGCCTTATTCATGAAGCTTAGAAAACACAAAAACATTAGAATACCTAGGTTCATTGAGGTTGTCTGGGGTAGCTAGGTGGAGGGGGAGGGGATAAGAGAGGTACATGTTGGTATTTAAAGTAGTGGACTCAAATAACTTAGACTATAAATAAGAGTTCCATTAGGTGATACATAGATAAGGGCTTTTTCTCCCAGCAAACACCCATAAGAATGGTTCTGTGTATGTGAATGAGTGGGTGGTAATTGTGACTAAATATTTTTGTTTTACCAAGAAACCGAAATAATTTTGGCCAGGAATAAATACTTCCTGAACATCTTAGGTCTTTTCAACAAGAGAAAGAGGACTGTCCTAAAGTACCTGCTAAAACATTCCATTGTTAAAATTTGTACTTTGAAGGTAAGCTTTCTAGGCCCGACCCTCCAGGTGTCAATGGACTTGTGCTACTATATTTTTTATTCGTGGTATCAGTTTAAAATTCAGACAAGGCCCACAGAATAAGATTTTCCATGTATTTGCCAATGTCAGTGTTGCACCTACCTTCTTTTTCCATCCACTTGCACCATATCATTACCATCACTTTTTCATCATTCCTCAGCCACTACTCACATTCATTTAATGGTTTCTGTAAACATTTTTAAGACAGTTGGGATGTCACTTAACATTTTTTTTTTGAGCTAGAGTCAGGGAATCAAGCCATGCTTAATGTTTAGAAATCACTTGTATGTGTATGTGTGTGGAAGAGTATGTTTTGTCATGTATTGTTACAAGCAGATACAGTATCAAGTCACAATCAGATTTGAAAATAATGCACATTCTGGATATCAGCCCTTTGTCAGATGGGTAAACTGCAAAATTTTTTTCCCATTCTGTTGATTGCCGATTCACTCTAATGACTGTTTCTTTTGCTGTGCAGAAGCTGTGGAATTTAATTAGGTCCCATTTGGGGTGTTGAAAAATGAGAACACATGGACACAGGGAGGGGAGCACTACACATTTGGGTCAGTTGGGGGGAAATAGGGGAGGGATGATGGGGGGTGGGGAGCTGGGGAGAGATAGCAAGGGGAGAAATGCCAGATGTAGGTGATGGGGAGGAAGGCAGCAAATCACACTGCCACGTGTGTACCTATGCAACAATTTTGCATGTTCTTCACATGTACCCCAAAACCTAAAATGCAATAAAATAAATAAATGGGGGAAAAAAAAGAAAATAATGCACATACAGTGTTCAAATTTGAACCTTTCTCATGGATTTTTGTGGTGTGGGCCAATATGGTGTTTACCTTATATAATTCCTGCTGTGACAAATAAAGCACATTTCCTTTCCTAAAATGTTTTCCCTATGTATCCTATATGGATACTGGTTTTCTTAATTATAATTCTTTCTCTCTTTTTTTTAGGATATAGCAATTATGCTATTACTGAAAGGAATGATTTTCTTTTTATGAAATGTAACCATTGATACTTGAATGATAGAATTTTAGTACTTTAAACAGGCTTTAGTCATTATTGTGAGAGACAGAAAAAAATGCTTAGAGTGGACTATTAAATGTGCCTAAATGAATTTTGCAGTAACTGGTATTCTTGGGTTTGCCCTACTTAATACACAGTAATTCAGAACTTCTATTATGAGTTTGACAGTCTTCTGGGGTGACCAGCAACTTTGATGTTTGCACTAAGATTTTATCTGGAATGCAAGAGAGGCTGAAAGAGGATCCAGTGGTACACATATAACTAATTTATTTGAACTATATGCTGAAGACGTCTACCAGTTTCTCCAAATGCCATTTTTAAAACTCATCACAGACAATTAGTGAAATGCTGAGTATGACACTTTTCTTCTTGCATGTCAGCTACATAAACAGTTTTGTACAATGAAAAACACTAATTTGTTTGACATTTCATGTTAAACTACTGTCAAGTTCAGCTTCATTGCATATAATAGAGCCCTAGTCCATCATCAGAGCATATGTTCTGGAGAACGTTCTTTATTCAATAAAGTTTTAATTTAGTATTAATAAAAACATGAAATGTCTGTATTTCAGTGCAAATTTGACTTAGCACAAATTAATAAGAAAGGAATACTTTAGAACATAAAATAACATCTGCAAATAAAGTTGTCACTCCATTGCAGCTGCTGCTTACACAACAAGCAATATGTGACCAGAAGCAGCATTTAGCACAAGCCTCTGGAGGATACTTTGTTATTTGCTTTGAGAAAAGGGAAAAAGGAAGCCCATTTGTCAGTGGTGGAGATGAGACTCTAAGTTGTTTGAATTAGCGTTTTTGGTTTCTTTCCACCATTTATTTTATAAAACACAAGCTTCTAGTTTATAGAGACCTTATGCTAGAAACCACAAGCTATGAGTAACAGATGGCAGCTTGTGGGGGGTTGGACATGGAGCAACACAAGCTCAATATTCTGTATTTATTTATTATTGGAGCTGATAAGTATTTGAGAGGTCTTCCCATTTACAAATTTGCAAATAGAAATAACAAGTCATATTGGTCAACAGCTTTTATTTTCAATTTCATTCTATGAGTCATGAGATTTAGAATATCTGAAAATATTGAAAAAGAATACATATTTACATAATATTTACATAACTATATGCATATGCAATGTCTTCAAAATAAATACTGGGTTCTTTTATTATTTTTAAGATGAACAGACTACCAAAATATGCATTATTGTGTATATTTAAGATGAGGAAACAATATTTCCAAACCTGTTATTATTGCATAAAAGAGAATAAGAATATAAAAGTAAAGATTTTCTTTTAAAATGTGTAACTCAAAATATTGATTGAGTTGTTTAGTTGCCGCAAACATTGATTTAGTTTTTTTATGCTTAAAAAATTAAGTTGTTTCTGTCTTTGAAATCACTAAATTAGTCTGCAACCTGCCTATTGACAATAAAGAAAATAAAGTGTCTTATCTCACATACAGTCAAACCATAATTATGTGAACATTTGCACACAGTTAATTTTGTTTGTATTCAGTTAGAAATACCTGCTGGGTAGGGATTATCATTACATTCAGGATATGTGTGATTTGCCAAAAGGCCAGAACTATCACTCAGCATACTAAAATTCTCTCAGCAACTGAAGTACATTTAGAAAGAATGAAAATGAGGTACCTTCATCATATTAAAACAAATATTAGCTAATTTTCAAGCACTTGATATACATGAATTTATGAAACCAATTTAAATAAAAAAGACATCTTTTTGAGTTCACCTGATATTTGAGGGACTTTACCTACCAAATAAATCTTAGTGCCAAAGAAGAGAAAAGCAATTGGTGCTCAAGCTCATCTTCTGTTTAATTGCAAAGTGAACAAATTTCTCAATCGATAATATAGAATTACCAGAATTCCAGGCCCTAATTAAATATTTAAAAAAAAAAAACTACCTAATTTTAGCCTCTATCAAAAGTAAGAAAAGATTATCTCAGAACCATTGTTTACAGAATGTACAATATCAACACATCTTGAGACAATCTACTTCTAGAAGCAACTACACTACCCTTGTCTGGTTAAAACATTTTAGTATTATGAAACCAGATTGCTTGGGAAGTTACAACTGCCAAAGAAAATGAAGTACACCCAAATAATTTCAGGAGTATTAAGGACATTATTGCTTAATATTATTATTACGTTTATTACCATGATCCCACTTAAGTCATATTAGAAAAGGATGTGCTTGAGTGTTTGGTAATATTTCAGTAATAGGTGAACCTGACATTCTAAGTTTCTCCCTGTGGTAGGCAGAATGTCCCCTAAAAGATATCTACTCCCTAATTCCTGGAACCTGTGAATACATAGTATTTATTGAACAGAGGAATTTTGCAGATGTAATTAAGGTTGAAGATCTGAAAATTAAAAGATTAATTTGAAATTCATGAGTAGGACCAATCTAGTCATAGGAACCTTTAAAAGCTGAGAGTTATCTCCAGCTGGAGCAGAAGAAATTTGGTAAAAGAGATGTAAGAGACACTTAAAGCTCAATAACTTAACGTTCCTTGCTTATTTGAAGAATGAAAGGATGGTCAGCTGGTCTAAAGCAGCTAGGTCAGGAATGCAGGTGGTCTAAAGCAGCTAGGTCTCCAAGCCAATTGCCAGCTAGGATACCACAGGAACTTTTGCCAGAAAGCTTGCAAGAAACTGAATTTTGCCAATAATGAATGATTTTGGATGAAGATTCTCTAAGATTTGAAATAAGAGCCCAGGCCAACTGATGCCTTGATTTTAGTTCTGTGAGATTTTGAAAACGGGAACCAGTTTAGCCCACCAAGACTTCTGGCCTACAGAATTTTAAGAAAATATGTTTGTGTTGCTCTATGCAATGAAATTTGTGACTATTTGCTACAATAGTGATAGAAAACTAAGACACTGATCCACAGAAAAGAATGGGCTTCCTACTTTGAATAACAAGAGCAACATATCCAATTTTAATCCCTTTTTTGTTGTCCATTAGTGTACTCACAACTAATTTTAAGTAGAAACTTTATCTCTGGCATAGGTACCTTTTTCATTCCATGCATTTTAATTTTGTCCTTAAATTTTTAAACAATTTAATGATATTTGTGTTTGCTTTTTTTTTTTTTTTTTTTTTTTTTGAGATGGAGTCTCACTCTGTAGCCAGTCTGAAGTGCAGTGGTGTGATCTCAGCTCACTGCAATCTCTGCCCCCTGGGTTCAGTCGATTCCCCTGCCTCAGCCTCCTGAGTAGCTGGGACTACAAGTGTGCACCACCATGGATGGCTAATTTTTTGTATTTTAGTAGAGACAGGGTTTCACCATGTTGGCCAGGATGGTCTGGACCTCCTGACCTCCTGATCCACCCATCTTGGCCTCCTAAAGTGCTGGGATTACAGGCATGAGCCACCACGCCCAGCTGCATCTTGTAAAAAATATATATTAAGTAGCAATATCCTATTTAGAAGTAAACAGATTATAAATATGAAAAATAAAATTAATTTTACGTTTTTATTCATAGCTTCTTTCAATGTGAAATATTTAAATAGACGCTAATGGAATACACAAAAGGCAAGGTAAAATAAATTAGGATTATATGTGATGAACATCAATTGTATTTCATAGCCAATGTATATTTTCTGCACCTTTGTTGACAGTAGACTGAGTTTTGGGGGTGATTTACCTCTCCTGCTTTATCTGAAATTTGGATGGTTGTGGCATGACATATATCTTATAACTTTAGTGAAGGGACTCTCTCCTAAGCTCTCTGCAGGGACATAGTTAAATGGTAGATTCTCTG